GAACTGATTAATTAATATACACCTGTGATCGATTCGAAACAAAATGTTGCTAATTAAGTTACAAAAAAGGTTAGTGCGCTTTATTTCAGGACACGCATGGGTGTAATTTAAATAATTTTCTGAAAAGGCAAATTTCAAATTAATGCTTCTGTCTGTTATTATGCACAAATACTTAATAGTTATGTGGCAAGTACTATAATAGTAAACTGCCAAATAATTCTACTTATTTACCTTTTTAAAGTCACATTATATATATTATTGTATATTGTGTGATTATATAGAAGTAATTCTATTTAATCACCCTTCTATACAATCACCAAAAAGTGCTAGACAAACTGGGTGATTATATAGGAGGACGACTGTAATTCAAATTAAAAAAAAAAAAAAAATATATATATATATATAATATATATCAAATACAAGTTAACCCAAATAGAATTATAAAACCTTATTTAAAGATTTCAATTTGTTGATTTACTTTATCAATGCATTTGTTAATCTTAATAAGAGGCATATTATGATATTCAGTCGTAAAACACAAGTGATAAAGCTTTTTAGCCACTATGAGTTTCATAGATTCTTATAATTTTATAAAATTAAATAATCTATCAAATTACCAATAAAATATAAATAGTATACTGTGTAACCATGCTAGAGTTTTTTGTAATATGAAGAAAAGAAGAAATTTTTTGGTAATTTATATTTTTCTTCTTAAATACCAGCTACAAAAATATATAAATTGTTAAAAAAAAAAAGATACAAATTAAATATTTATTTGAACAATAACTTTTATCTGTTCGGGATCATCACTAAAAAATTCAATATCATCAGAGAATTGTTGGCAACTTTGTTTTAATTGGTTTAATAGTTCTTTTTTAGCATTGTTACTAGAAAAGTTATTTATAATTTGTCTATTTTTCGCTTTTTTTATTGTTTTATCATCAGAAGATTCATCTACAATAATATACCCCTTTTTTACTTTACTTATTGCCATATTAGAGGTTTTATACTGTAATTGGATGGTTTGTCTTCTAAAGTACGCACTTTATTTCTTTGCTTCTCTTATTTGTTGTCATTTTGGAGGTTTTATCGAAAGAAAATTCATCTTCTATATTGTGTACTTTATTTTGAGTTAATAGTATTAATGGCCTTTTGGTTACTTTTTTGGTGTAACTTCCTTCACCATAAAAATATCTTCAAGTTCAGAGATTCTCTTTTTAAGCTTAGCAATCTTTTTTAATATAACCTTTTGTTTATGAATAGTTGATTCGCTAGTAAAGAAACCATTTTTTGAATTGGAAAAATCATCTAACATTTCATACTTCATTATATTTATAGCTGCAGCATAAAGTATTTTATAAATTTATATTAAACATAAATAAAAATAAATAAAATAAAACAAATTACATTAAACAAAGTCTTGCATAAAAAAAGTTATATTATTTTATGTTCACAAAAAGAAGAATTAAAAAATTTATAAGTGGGTAAAGAACCAGTAAAATTTATTTTATACTATGTAGTGAATCATTAAAAATTACATAATTATATATCACATGAATATATAAATAGTATTTAAAAAAAATTCATTAAATTGATCTACATTATTTGTCACAATTATGTATTTACAGTAAAGAATCAGTAAAATTTATTATTATACTATGTAGTAAATCATTAAAAATCACATAATTATATATCATATAAATATATAAATAGTATTTAAAAAAAATTCATTGAATTGATCTACATTATTCATCACAATTATATATTTATAGTAAAGAATCAGTAAAATTTATTATGATACGTACTATATAGTGAATTGTTAAAAATCACATAATTATATATTATATAAATATATAAATAGCATTTAAAAAAAATTCATTGAATTGATCTACATTATTTGTCACAATTATGTAATTGTCTGAATTGTTTTCTATAAAAGTAAATTTAATTATACAAAATTTAAGAGATGTGGTGCAGCTATGAGGTACTTTAAATATTATTGTGGTCTAACTTTATTGTATCTTTTTCTTTATTACAAAGATTCAATTATTGAAATATTTTATCTATATAGCCATTAAATAAGTCATTCAAATGATTATTAAAAGTCATCAAAATAAAAAAAAAAAGCAATAAAAAGCTAAAAGTTCTTTGTAATTGTTTAAAGTGTCGTGATCAAAACTTAGTTTATATTTCAACATATACATGTTATCGAAAAAAGTATTTTCAAATTAATAATATTCAATCAAGCAATGATAAACAGGAAATAAGTGATTTCGAACAGGAATCTAGTATTAATTCAAGTAATGGCAAACAGGAACTAAGCAATATTAAACAAGAATTAAGCACAAATAAAGAAATATTAAACGATCAAATGCTAAGCAATACCGAAATTGAAGATTTAGAATCAATCACTAACTACAAATTAGATTTTCAGAAAGCTAGTGAAATGTAATTAAGATGTATGTTTTTTGGTTTGAATATATAGAGTGTCCAGAGTATTGCAGTGCGTAATTCTGCTTATGCTAAAATAATTTTATATTGATCTCATTAGAGACATGTGGTTAAATCACTTTTAAACCCAATTATAATATAAAAAGATATTTTTAGTATAAGCAGAATTATGCAATACAGTACCTTGAATATTCTAATTATATATTGCTGAATTTAATTTTTAAGAATAATATAATTTTAGTATGTCTAATAATGAACTACTAACAGATTCAAATTCGGTATCAAATAGTGAATTAAGTAAAGACAGTAAGACAAATCAGATTTTAAATACATAAACATCTTTAATTCTCTAAGACTTTTTATTTATTTAGACTATACTACTATTCAATTATCTCCTGGATTTCCAAAAGCTTTGAGACTTTTGGAAATCAAAGCTTATTCTAATATGATAAATGAAATATATTGTAAAATAATAGATGCTTTTAGTAAATAAAATATATCTTTATATTATGCTACTAAAAAACTATAAAGTCTAATATCAATTGATCCAATATGGATTAATTATTGTATAAAAAGTTGTTGTGCTTTCACTAGAAATTTGAAAGACTTATAGAAATGCCCAGTATATGGAGAGGAGAGGTATAAAAGGAATTTCAAAAAACAAGTTGGAGTAAAAAAAAAATGGCATTTTTTCCTCTAAAAAAAGGTTTATTATTCAATACCAGAATTCTAATCAGTTATTAGAATTACAATATTGAATTATTTATATAATGAGCCAAGAATATCTGCAATATAGCTCATATAGTGATATATTTGATGGTAGACAGTATCAAGAGTTAGTAGAAAAAAGGCACTTTATGGATTATTGGGATATTGCATTAACAGCTTTGCTCGACATTTATAATATTTTTAAACAAAAAACTGACAATTGTTGGATAATTTTATTCATAAATGCAACCATTTTACCAGAGAGTCGGGTAAAACAAAACAATCTATTAATTAGAGCTTTGATCCCAGGACCATCAGCACCAGGCAATTTAAACTCCTTTCTTTACCCAATAATTAATGAACTCAAGGAATTAGAATATAAGAATTCAAATTATTTGATCCTTTATATAAATATATATGTATATTTTTAAACCCTTGAATTATTTAAAAATTTTAATCACTTGGTTAAGGTAGAATTGAATGTCAAGACAGATATAAAGACCAAGATTTTATTTTACATTGCTCAGTTGTATCTTGATCAGAAGACACCCCAGCTCTTGCAAAATTGATATGTACTATCAGTCACAATTCTTATCAAGGGTATAGATATTGTAACTTACATGGAATATGGGAAAATCATGTCTACTTTTCTAAACAACCTCCTAAAAACAAACAAAAAAGATCTATGATTCAAGTAATCTTCCAAAAAGAACACATCAGGATTATTTAAAAAAGATACAAAGATGGAAATCAGCTAAGAATAATAAGGACAGAAGAAATATAGAAACTGCTACTAGTATATATAATAATAATATCAGGATTAGTGAGTTTTCACTTAGATTGTGTTAACAATAATCTGTAAGTGGCCAATCAAGTAGCAGTACAGATTAATTTTGCAATTTATAAAAAGATACTTTTAATATATAATTTATTAATTCAAATTAAAATCATGTTAGGAGTTAATAAACAAAGCATATTATTCAAATTGAAATCTACAAATTTCTCAGGTTTATTTCAAATTGATATCATGCATTTACTATATGAAAACATTTTTAACTATATGTTTAAGCATTGGTATGGATGTTATTATTTCAATAATTCAAGTTTAAATGTGAATGAATATACAATTCAAAAAAGTATTTGGGTTACAATTGGAAAAATAATGAAATCAAATCAAAAATTAATGCCAACATGCTTTGGTCAACCTCCAAGAAATATTGTTAATCATCATGATGGGTTTAAGGCTAAAGAATAGGCAAATTGGATAGTGCTTTATTTGATGTCTTTATTAAGAGGACATTTACTAAAAAAATAATACAAGGGTGAAACTTATTTGTGGCCACAGTAAAATTATGTCAAAGAAGAATAATTTCATCATATGATATTAATGAAATTCAAAGACTAACACTTGGTTTTTATAAACATTATGAAAAGTAAATATAATAATAATTATTTGTTTAAATGATAGTTAAAATTAAAAAATTTGACATGTCAAATAGCATTTAAAGTATGCTATTTGACATATCAAATTTTTAATTTGACTTGTATAACATTCATAACAAATTTAATAAGTTTTTTTTTTTATTAACAGGAAATATTATCAGCAAGATCAAATGCGATTGCCAGCAATAAAAATATACTTCCATTACCTTTTGCATCTGGCTAATACCATAGAAACAAATAGTTCTTGCTAGAGCACATGGCAGTTCCTGATAGAACAATTATGTGGGATATTAATCCCCCTTGTTCAATCAAAGCTTCATTCTTATAATAACTTGGCAAATTAAATTATTCTTAGAGAACAATTAAATCATTTATGATTCAATGAAAGTATCTATCATCAAGTTTATTCATTATGAAATAAAATAAGTCAACATAATAATAATATGATATATACGAACCCTAATTATGAAGAGAAATTTCATTTTCCAACTGCAAAGCATTCTCTAAACAAATCAATGGTAGATAAATTGAAAAAACATTATTTAATATGTTATCCCTTAATTGGTAAAGATTTGCAGGCAAATTTGCCTGTATAATTACTATAAATATGTCTCTGATTTACTTTTTTAATTATTTAAAATATTT